CCTGGGAACCCCAAAATTATCCATGGGAACCCCAAAATGTCCCCATGGAACCCCAAAATGTCCCCATGGAACCCCAAAATATCATGGAAACCCTAAAACATCCCTGGGACCCCAAAATGTCCCCATGGAACCCCAAAATGTCCCCATGGAACCCCAAAATGTCCCCATGGAACCCCAAAATGTCCCCATGGAACCCCAAAATGTCCCCATGGAACCCCAAAATGTCCCCATGGAACCCCAAAATATCATGGAAACCCTAAAACATCCATGGAACCCCAAAATGTCCCCATGGAACCCCAAAATATCATGGAAACCCTAAAACATCCCTGGGACCCCAAAATGTCCCCATGGAACCCCAAAATGTCATGGGAACCCCAAAACATCCCTGGGAACCCCAAAATTATCCATGGGAACCCCCAAGATACCCCCAAGGGCTGCGCCGAGACCGCCGTCAGAGGTGGCACCCCAAAAATGTCATGGGAACCCCCAAAAATGTCCTGGGAACTCCAAAACATCCCTGGGAACCCTGGAATCATCCTGGGAACCCCCAAAATTATCCATAGGGACCCCCAAAATACCCCCAAGGGCTGCGCCAAGACTGCTGTCAGAGGTGGCACCCCAAAACGTCCCTGGGACCCCCTAAAACCATCCTGGGACCCCAAAATGTCCCCTGAGAACTCAAAATTATCCTTGGAAACCCCAAAATACCCTCTGGGTACCCCCAAAATCATCCCTGCACCCCCCAAAACCACCCTGGGACCCCCAAAATATCATCCTGGGAACCTCAAAATTGCACCTGGGACCCCAAAATTCCCCCTGGGACCCCCGAATCTCCCCCTGGGACCCCAAAATTCCCTCTGGGACCCCCGAATCTCCCCCGGGACCCCCCCAGCCCTGCCCGGTGGGGCGGGGGTCTCACCCCCCTCTCCTGCAGTGCACGTGTCCTACCTGGATGGCAAAGGGAACCTGGAGCCGCAGGGGGCAGGTGAGGAACGACCCCCAGAGACCCCCCCAGAGACCC